TAAATAAAATAATTTCCACTGCTACTCTTAACGATTATATTGAACTTGACAATGAAATTTGCACATCAAGTTTTCCTACAGATCACAATATTATTGAGCACTATAGCTCTAAATTACTGGATCCAATTCTAAACGCAACGGAAAGTGATGATGAGGGTTCAGTGGATTGTTCATCAGCCTTCCAAGAATGAAAAATTCTGAATTTATATTTACAAACGAATGCTATTCCAAATGATGATCACTATAAGACTATGAATAAAATCTCAAACCCTAATTTCTGAATATTTTACTTCATTATAAATTCTGTAAAATGTAATTCTAGTTTCTTTCAAAAATAAAAAATAAATAAAAAAATTCTCTAATTCGAAGTCCCCATAAGTCGAACCTTTTCTTTGCAAAATTGGACTTCGAGCGATGGAAGTTTGACTGTATTGTTAAAAAAATTTTTAATAATTGTTTTAATGACCAAATATTTTCAATAATAATTTTGTTTTTTAACGGGCTAAATGATCAGTAGTTAAATAATACACTTTTAAAAAAAATTATTTTTTGGTTTCTAAAAAATTTTATTTAAACCGATATTTCGACTACAATCTATAGTCATTATGATAACCAATTAGCCCGTTAAAAAACAAAATTGTTATTAAACAATTTTTTATAATATACAAGAACAAAAAAATTTCTTATATTAAATGTTGAAACACATAACTTGTAATACATAATTTTTAAGTGTTAATAAAATTTGTGTAATCACAATTTGTAATTTTCATTGAATCCTGAATGCATATTTAAATTTTTTGTCATTAAAACATAAGTTATGTATACATATACGAATTTAATATAAATTTAGCTGCTATAGGGTTATTCGCAATAATGTACAATCAATGTTCAAAAAATTATTTTACAGATATGTAGCAATTCACTTAAAACTGTGTTTTTTTTTACTTTTAAATAGTTATACACTATTTATATATACTAATGATCATGCCAGCAAAGAAATCAAATGTACTCTTCTACGTATATTGTAATGTTATAGAAGTATAATGCAACGCTCTCAACTCAAATTATTAGCATATATAATATATATACACAAGTGTTTATTCTATGTGCAAATAATTTGAGTGTCATCCAAATATGAAAAGGAACTTGTCACAAAACATTTAATAATATAACTTAAGAAGCAAATATTCTATTTTGTACTATATGCTAAGATAAATCAAAATCAAAATGTAACTAAAATTTTTAAATTGCAAGCACTATATCTTGTTCAATATGTCGAGTCTTTTTTGTATATTGGTTGCACTGTAACGTATGTGTAAACTGATAGTAAGATCTACGTTTGGCTTGTGTTTACCAAGTAGACGAGCTAAACGTATATCAGTGATGATTTTTTAGTTAAATGACGGTCCAGGGGAATTAAAAGAGAATTTAAAAAAAATGAAGTATACAAAATTTTAAAGGACATTGACGTCGATAATATGCCACGGCGCCCTAACATGTTTATCAAAGATGAAAAATTGAAAAAAATTGTATATGCTAACAGAAGAATTGTCATCAAAAAAATTTTTACAAGAGTTTTCAATATAAAAATGGTAGGAGCAATATTTGTTTATCTAACAATTTGTGACAAAACGTAAAATCACTGTAATTTTTTATTTCAAAACTAAGGAGAGTCATTCAAAGGATAAAAGTTTTCAAAAATAGATGAGATTACCATACGTAGAAAGAAAGTTAAGCATTGTTTTTAAACTGCAATCTTTAGAGAGAAAAAAATTGCAATATCAACGAGGAACTACTTTAAATTAGATGAAGTTAATGTTAAAATAACTTTAAAAAAAAAAAACTATAATTCTCATTACTTTTAGATTACATTTCGTATATGGTTAATTTGTTTAAAGGCTTCTATAAATAATAACAGTAGTGTAAATTGTTTAGGTATGCAGAATTGCATAGCAAATGCATGTAGTATTTTTAAATACATAATTATGTTTTCTTTATATTACAACGACATTAAGAGTTACTAACAATAATTAATTTATTTGAAAATAATTAAAATTTATCTCTATATACCAGTTTAGAGTTTCCTTATTGAGGTCCTATGACAATAAGTACATATGTTAAGTTAAAAAAGTAATTTTCTGTCGATTTTGTAATTAGGTAACGTTTGAATGGCGATCGTAAAGATCTACTTAAGCCGATTGGGCCACTGCATTACCGCATTTATAGATCTACATTATTTAAATTAGAACCAGATGAGGATGGCAAGTCAACATCGTTTGGTGGTACAAAAGTACCCATTAATGTTATATCCTTATTTCTTTCAACTAATTTTAACATCTCAGTTCTAAGTTTATCTAATATCGCATAATTTGGTTGATTAATTGCTGCTTTACTTTGAAGCACTGTAATTTCTTGTTCTTCCATTTTTTTTTCCTTGAAAGTTTTAATAGAATTATTACCATAAAGTCGTAGTAGAGAGCCCCAAGTCTTAATGTGTGGATGTAAAATCTGAAAAAAAAATATTTTAATAAAAAAAATTGATTTAATATATTTTTTTAATATTCTTTTACCTGTAAAATGGCTTGAGAAGCTAATTGTTTACCTTCACGTTTATTCTTGCATAATACCTTTGCTGTGTGCTTACCCACTGTCATGGTGAATTCATTCTTCTTATTTTTGGTGCGATTTATTTCATAATTTACTTGAATGTCACCCAATCCAAAATTTCTTTGTAGACAAGTCAATAGAATAACATGCGGTGACGGTTCAGTTGTCTTATTACAAAATTCAGCTACGCGAGGATCCTCAATTTTTATATCATCGAACACCTAAGAAAATATATTATATTATACATTTATTGTAACCACTTAGTACTATTGCATACATATATTTAAATAAGTTAAAAAAAATCATTACCGACAAATCCTTATGTATTGTTTTCGTTGCAGCCTTATCCTGTTGAACACCGGTTATTTTATCCTTCATATCCGGTATTAAGATTTCCAATGTTTCTCGTGCAGCATCAGATTTCGCCTGTTTCTTACTAGTACCAAATCCGGTGCCGTATTTTAAATTATTGATGGACACAGTGGCGGAATATGGCGTTGCAGCATTTTCCAACTCCTTAAATTCATAAGTTGGCTGTTTTTTCAAGGCATGTTGTACATATTCATGTAAAATACAAACGTAGCTTTTATTATTTGGATTCATAATCCACTCCTTACGTCCGCGCGTGTGTTGATTTGACTCGCCACTAGGCGCAAGTATAGGAAATTTAATTAGCTTAGTGCCATCTGGTAAGGTAGGCCGTTGCAGGTTCTTTATATGTTTGCGATTTTTTGTAAACTTTCGTCTTGCATTCCACGAATTAAATCTCAGTACTCGTATATCCTTAAACTTAAATAGACTTTTGCAATATTCATTTAATTGATCCGGTGTTAAGGACTCGTTTTGTGTATTTTCAGTGACAGTCATAATTTTGGCAGGAGGTATGACATTTTTAACAATAGAATTTTGAGTTTCCGTAGGTATTACGTTATTATCTAAAAAGCAATTCAGTTGAATATGATTTATATTTAAATTTTAGAGTGTTTTCGAATAGCAAAGAAAGAAAGAAAAGACAAACAAAAATTTATTTAATTTTATTGGAATTTGGTTTAAGCGTGAAATCGCCCAACAGCCGGTACTGCGGCCAGAAGAGTTCTATTGTACCAGTTTCACTATTCATTACACAAAGCCCCTTAAAGCTTTGTGAATAAAGTCTAGAACTAAATCTAGAGAAGAGTTCTTAATCTGTTCTGACGATAGAAGTTCCATATAAACAAATTTCTTCTGAGCGTTATTAAAGCTGGGTATTCACAAAGAATATGCATGGTAGTTTCCTCATCTTCGAGGCATAATCTGCATCCCGAATTAGTTGTAGTTTATGAAGGTGGTATTTTAGTCCATAATAACCAAACTATGCAACGCTGTTTCGAGTATTGCCAAGTACTCATCATCATTGGTCTTAGGAAATAATCGAATTTTTAATTAGTTTATAGTCCGTATATAATTTGTTTGGACTGCTAGTGTCAGGCTTAGAACTTTCAGGCTTACCGTGCTTTAAATTAGAACGAGCTTATAAACTACAGCTTTATTTGGAAACACAAGTTCAACGACTTAAAAGTTAACTTTTGAGTTTGCCTATTTTTTATTTTACTGTATAATATTAGAACAAAACGCAGATCACGAGCAAACATACAATCAATCAATCAATCAGATACAACAGTTATATATATCCAAACCTGTCATATCTGTAAAACAATACCTTAAATGATTAAAGTTTTGAAAGGAGCAATTGTATTCTGTGCTAAAAAAAGTTGGGACTTTTTAGATTATAGGCATATATGACTTTATGTAGCCGTAGATAAGTTAGACAGATATATGACATGAATCACCCACACACTTGAGCGATTTTCACATCCAGTATATTATAATAATTGAACTGTTATTTGTATAACGAATATTTATATAAAATATATCAAAATTAAAAAACTAAAATTTAGTTCACAAAAGCCTTTAAATAATTAACATCGACGAAAAGTGCCCTCAAAACAATCAAATATTTTATATACAATTTATAATAAATAAATTATTTACCATTGCTTTCTGCTGCATTTTGTACGTTTTGATCTAAGTCCATTGGAGTTTCTTCAAGTAAAGGGCATTCATTTTCAGTCTCTCTTGTTGCGTTATTTTGGTTAGGTTCCATTAAATTTGCTTGCTTCAATTTTTCTAACCGTTCCTCCTCCAAAGCACGCCTATAATTTAGACACGGTACAGCGCCTAATGGAATAGCGTGTTTCTAAATGATAGAATAAATATCAATTATTATTAATATTACTATTAAATTAAAAACAAATTCTTACTCTAACACTCCCAGCTCCTAAAAAATAAGGTCTTGATGCTGATACAACACGTGCTTTTTTATGTAGGAATAATGGCATACCACTATTGTGCGTTACTTGTACCCATCCTTCCGGTAGTACTTCAAAATGATTATGTCCCTTTTCTATAAAAGTAAATTGTTATACATTTTTAATTATTATTGAAATACAATTGCATGAGTAGTAGTATATTTATATATGTGTTACCTTCTAATACTGTTTTAAAACGTTCCTCATATTTCGGCCTTTTAGATTCCTTGAGGTCGTCAGGTAAGTTTTCATTTAATAGATTTTCAATTTCATCATCATCTAGATCTAAATCAGATGAATCATACTCCTCGGCCAGTTGGTCTTTATTATTACCATTGGTTTCGTTCTCTAAATAAGTCATTTAAAACATATTTAAAGTATATATATTTGTTGATTTTAGTAATACAATTTATTAAATAAATAAATTCTAATTGTTTAATTTTAATGCTCTAGTACTAATGCTCTTTTATTTGTCAAATTTTTATTTGAATATTCAATTTATAGACTCAAATAGAAAGGCGTTCTTACCTGTATTGTGCGTTAAGGTTTTGTGAACGTCTAAGCGAATTATTGGAATCATACGCATTTTACAAGTTGTAACTTATATAATAAATTATTCTAATCTGTCATGAAAACTCTTAAGAATAAAGTGACTGTAGCGAAAAGTTTAGCGCATTGCTGCTTAGACAGTCGTTGCAATACTGAATAAAAAATCTGTTTTTTATACCATAAATCTTAAGCTCATAAAAATTATACCCGTATGTTTACATTTCTATGTTTCTCAAGTTAAAAACAGGTGGTGCTACTATATAAGTTCTCAGTAATATTTATCTTCTTATTCATCACTCCCAAGATTTTATCAATTGTTTATTTATTGATAAAGCAAGATTTACATCGATAAAAAAACCTAAGCATGCAACGCTTATAATGGCTAATGCTTTTCCTCTGCTTAATTTACATTTATATTATCTGATTATTACCTGATTCACTCCCTGAACACTGCACTTCATCCAACACTTGAAATTGACGTAAAGTTTCGCTGTTGATGTTTGCTTCTTGAGCACGGACTTTCATTTCTTCCATTGCGCTTAGCGAAAAGCCATCCAAACGTGGCTTTTTGTTTGGTTGTGCTTCCGCCTCGGATGGCATTTTCTGATAGTTCGAACCACTAAGAACTTTAGATTTAATTAACAAGTTAAAATAATTAAACTAAATTCATTAAAAACAAAAGACTATTTATCTTCGCCCTACTACATAAACGACGCTTTGGGTTCAAAAAAACATCCAATACATGGAATCCAACAGTTTAATCGATTTTTCAATAAATTGGATTGTTCATATATTTGGTTATTTTAGGAAACCCACAAATAATGAGCACTCCTACGTATGAAACAAATCAAGACAATTTCTTTAAAATATCTTATCAAAACAAAATCCTTAAATATTTGTGATTTATAGATGTTAATAGCTTTGATAATTTTTTGCCAAAAGAAGCAAATTTCGCAATGGTTTAATTCTGTCGTCTCTTTAATAAAATCAAAATGACAAGAAAATCCACCACAAAATTACTTCTTTTAATTTATAAAAAATGAAAATTTATACAAATTATTTTCCTGGACCTGCTGTACTCAGCTCTAGTTTTTAGTAGCTCACTTAAACTTGTAAACAGCTGGCAGCAGGGTTGCGTGCTGTTCTTAAGCAAGTATTCCCGCGTCAACATTGTAAATAAGTACTAAATATAATATAGTTAAGTGACGCAAAATGTATGTAGTATTCAAAGTGAACACTTAAAATTTTCGAATATGATTCGAAGATATTTGTGAAATTAAATTGAAGTGTTTACATTATGGCTAGGGTATTAGTAAATAGCTTTAAGAGAAAATCAAAAAAGTAAATAATATAAAATTTATAAAGCTATAAATTTCATTTAATGTGTATAAATTAATATATTTGCTGTATACATAAAGCACATATTCTTTTAAATATTGCAATTCTATCTGTTTTTGTGTTATTCATTTCTGTATTAAGTCTTGAAATATGACTACTTAAACTATTTATTTTTTGTGATGTCCAACAGTTTTAAAATATAAACCTAACTATTTTTCCATGTGAAAATCAAATTACAATAGGCGTATTCGGTGGTTCGCAAGTACGGCAAAAAACAGCAAGTTGTTGGCCTATGCAGGCCTATACTGGCCGCAATGTATGCAAAACAACAACACTATTTTCTCTACCTCGGCCACCATAGTTATGCTGGCCAACCACATCGGCCAGTAAAAAAAAAAATGTTACCAACGCAATAAGCGAACTATTGTGAACATTCATTGAAAATTCCAACGAATAGTGCAATCAAATGTCAAAAATTGAGGAAATAAAAATTCAAACAGAATTCAAAAATTTGAAAAATATTGAAAAGTAAATAAGAAATAATAAGAATGGAGAAATCGTAAGTATTAAGCACATTGAATTTTTTATTATGTTAGTTATTACCAAGTAACATTTATTTTATTTCATTTAATTTGTAGTTTACATACGTAAAATTAATAAACAAACATAATTTTTGAAGTTTTACTAAAAATTTTTTTATAGAAATACACCCAAACTATGGACTACAAAGGAAACGAAGTGTTTTCTAGAGTGCTACTTGACACGAAAGGAAGAGAATCTTCACAGGAGGTTGTTGCGGCATTCATAACATTTAAAAAATCCGTGAAACAACTTGCATCCCTCGGCCACTGCAAAACGTTGCTTCCTTCTCCCAACACGACAGTACCTACAAAAATTTACTTATCTTAGTGTTTTATTTTTAAATTTCCAATATTCTTACCATTCCTTTTAATTCCATGTTCATTTTAATTTTATAATATTTTTATAAATATATATTTGATTTATATGCACATATACAAGATTTGCTGTTTGTCAAAACAAAACATTTGACAGATTGCAACAGTGATGCCAATGACTTGCGTGGCCAACATAGGCCAACATGCATTTTTTGCCGTACTTGCGAGCCACCGAAAAGGCCTAATAATACATCGCGTGATATATGTCATATGTCAACATTTTTGGCAACTAAAATTATAATCCAAACTCTCGTTAGAAGACAATATAAATATTTAGATATATATCGGATAGAAATATAATAATTAAAAAAATGTGATTTTTTAATTAATAATACTCACACTAGCATAATATTGTACCATAACAATACTATACTCCTGTAAATGGTTGAAGTTGATATCGACTTGATTCTGTTGACCAAAGAATATCTTTGCTGTTGATATTACGATTCAATCCTAATATTAGATGTTAACATTTTTATAGAAATTTTGAACTTGATTTGTAATGGAAAACAAGAATAAACTTAAAATCCAGCAGATGTTGCAAACAAAACTCTCGAAGAATACTATATACTGTACAGCGAAGTTTTTTAATATGCGGCGCCATTGATCTATACGATTTACTCAATAATGTGTAATGTTAAAATTTTTTTAATTTTTTTATGATACACAAATTGATTCAAAAATTCACAATCAGTGTCACTCTTAACGAATTTTGTTAGGCAAGTTTATATAAGGTGAATTCGAAAATAAACAAAATGTTTTAAAAGTAAATCTTTCTACTGAAAGATCTAACGATTGGCAATCACATGCAAAAAATTCTTGATTCTCAAAAAATATTGGTTTTATGTAAGTTATTTATTTTTAATTATAATGATCTAATAAAGTTGTCATAGTTTCGAAGAAGACCGGTAGAGTAAATACACTAATGGAAAAGATTCCTTGATCCAAAAAAATGACAAATATCACATGGAAGAATGTTTTTCAATATTTACTGAGATGTATCTAGGCAAAAAAAACTTCCAAATTGATTTTTTTAGAAATTCTTTAAACATTATTGCTCGAAATTACATTTTTTTTACATTTCTCAGTAATTGAGAGTGTATTATGTCATTTTACAATGACGGAAACTGGCATAAAATCTCCATATCCTTTTTGTGTAAATTAAAATATCAAAGATATATAAAGCGATATGAAACAGTTTTGCTACACTTTTAATAAAGAATACTTTAGAGCAAGGCTGTCCAAAGCACGGCACGCGTTCCGCATGCGGTTTTCGACCAATGTTTATGGGGCCCGCGACATGTTTTTAATCTACTACAATTATGTAAATTTGCTTTTGGTGTACTGGTTAAACTACATTATTTTATTTTTATGCTATATCAATTAAAAAATTTAAATTGATAAATTATTAAAACTAAATTTAACCGCATTTTTCCTTTTTTTTCAAAAATTATGAACGTATGTATTTATTTCTGCCGGCGTCCAATCTATGCTCGCGATCGCATCTGGTTTGGACAGCCATGCTTTAGAGCAATTAATCGTTAAAAAATTTTAATTGATACATTTGTAATCAAATTAATTTGATTATGATTATTATAATAGTACAACACATGTTTTCATAATATGGAAAAGATTGAATATCGTTCAGTAATAAAATTCCCCAAATTCAAAAAGAATGAACAATGAACAATCAAAATAGAAATATATTCTGTTTACGGCAACCTTGCACTATCTTCCTTTCAAATGGAGGAATTAATTACTAAACAATATTCATTTTTTCCATTTTAAGAAAAATCACCGAAATGCACTATTTCAACTTCTTTCAAAAGACTGGCCAAACATCTGATGAAGTGGGAACTTTAACAACTGGCCTTTAAAACTTGTCAGATATATAAAATATAATTGATTTTGACCTTGCGTTCCTCCCTGTTCTGAAGTCAGGTACTTATCTATCCATCTAATATACATTTGGTACCTTTCGTAAACTTTTTTTATAAAAGATGCAGTATTGTTGATATTCTTTGATTATTTGTTTATTAACCAAAGAGTAATCGTAAAAATAAAACAAAAATTTATTCTCTCATCCAGTAAGAAATATCAAAACAGAACATAAAAAATGTTAAATAGTAGTAATATATAAATTTTATCGAACGATAAATTATATTGTATTGTATTGTATTTATAATTATTTATATATTGTCAATTGTTTACGTATTGTAACAAATCAAGAATGCGTTTAAATGAAAATGTTAAGATTGTTGGAAATAAGGTGGTGTTAGTACCATACGAAACAAAACACGTTCCCAAATATCATGAATGGATGCAATCCTCTGAATTACAAAAGTTAACAGCATCGGAACCTCTAACACTCGAAGAGGAATATGAAATGCAGCAAAGTTGGCGTGAAGATGAAGATAAGTGTACTTTTCTTATACTTGGAAAAGAACAATACAACGAGACCGGCGAAGAGATAGCATCTCTAATAGGTGATACAAATCTATTCTTGCGCATTGATGATGAAGCAACTGTGTCGGACTACACAATAGCTGAAGCTGAAATAATGATAGCGGAGAGCAGCTCAAGAGGAAAAGGTTACGGTTGGGAAGCTATGTTATTGATGCTGAAATATGCTCAAACCAATTTAAATGTTCAAAAATTCGAAGTTAAAGTTAATATAGCCAATACACAATCCCTAAACATGTTTACGAAAATGCATTTTAACGAGGTTTGCAGATCAGCTGTCTTCGAGGAAGTGACGTTGGAATGTAATATTACAAAGGAATGGATAAAGTGGTTAGATAATCAAGTAAACCCACAGTATACAATATATCGGTAAACAGAAACAACTATTTAAATTGTAAAACTTTTATTTTTATGTATATATTTAATAAATCTGCACTGCTCTTATTTAAATATATGTAAATATATATTTTAACTTTTTCATTATTATATATATATGCATGTGTATATAATAAAATAAACAGATCTTCATACTTATTTTTACATGGTATTAAAAATAATAATTTCAAAAATTGTACCAAAAGTTTGAACATAAAACAAATTAACAAAATAGTTTCATTTCTTATGGAAGAAAAATTTATAGCTAAAAATTTGCAACAAATATATAAATTGTAATTTTGTCATATCAAAAATTTTAACATAATTGAGTTAATTTTTTTAATATGTCTTAAAAGTAAAGTTTAGACTTAACTCACATTTGTTCCTGAAAAGCTTTTTCTTTAAAATATTATTTGATAATTAAAGGCAAACACAATAAAAATAACAATAAGAAACATAAGTCTAATTTTTCTTAAAATTAAATGAACGTTAGTGATTTCATAATTTGATGTAAGAAATTAAACACGGGGTCCATCAAGTGGCATAGCATGATGCAATACCTCGTCTAATAGTTGCAAAGCACGATGTAAGTGTACTTCGATCCAGCATGGTGTCTCCTTGATAGATTGTCGCGGATAATCAGGTCCCCAACCTTTAACAAAACTTAAACGCAGAATACACAAACG